CCAGTATGTGGTCTATTCTGGAGAAAGTTCCATGTGCACTTGAGAAGAATGTGTATTCAGTTGCATTCGAATGCAAAATTCTGTATATATTGGTGAAATCTATTTGTTCCAGTGTATATTTAAGGCCCTTGTTTCTTTGGTGATGTTCTGCTTAGAATATCTGTCATTTGCAGAAAGTGTCATGTTGAAGTCTCCTCCTATTAGTGTATTATTATCTGAGTATCTCTTTACTTTGGTTGTTAATTGATTGATATACTTGGCAGCTCCCACATTAGGGGCATAAATATTCATGATTGTTAGGTCTTCTAGTTGGATAGAGCCTTTAAGTATGATATAGTGTCCCTCTTCATCTCTTACTACAGTCTTTGGGATAAACTTTAATGTATGTGATATGAGGATTGCTACCCCAGCTTTCTTTTGAGGACGATTTGAATGGTAAATGGTTCTCCAACCTTTCATTTTCAGGCTGGAGGTGTCCTTACATCTAAAATGAGTCTCTTGTAGACAGCATATAAATGTGTTTTGCTTTTTTATCCAGTCTGACCGCTGTGTCCTTTGATGGGATCATTTAGCCCATTCACGTTCAGAGTAACTATTGAAAGATATGAATTTAGTGTCATTGTAATACCTATTCAGTCTGTTTTTGTGGATTGTTTCTTTGGGCTCCCTCTTTCTTTTACAGGGTCCCCCTTAATATTTCTTGCAGAGCTGGTTTGGTGGTCACATATTCTTTCAGTTTCTGCCTATCCTGGAAGCTCTTTATCTCTCCTTCTATTCTGAATGAGAGCCTTGCTGGATATAGTATCCTTGGCTGCATGTTCTTCTCATTTAGTAGCCTGAATACATCCTGCCAGCCCCTTCTGGCCTGCCAGGTCTCTGTGGAGAGGTCTGCTGTTAATTTAATGTTTCTCCCCATATAATTTAGGGATCTCTTGTCTCTCACTGATTTAAGGATTTTCTTTTTATCTTTGGAATTTGCAAGTTTCACTATTAAATGTTGAGGTTTTTAATGTTTTTTATTGATTTGGGGGGGACCTCTCTATCTCTTGGATCTGAATGCCTGTTTCCTTCCCCAAATTAGGGAAGTTCTCAGCTATGACTTGTTCAAATATGCTTTCTGTCCTTCTGTCCCTCTTGGCACTCTCTGGCACCCCAATTATACATAGATGTTTTTCTCCTGAGGCTATTGTTTATTTCCCTTAACCTTTCCTCACGGTCTTTTAATAGTTTTTCTCTCTTATCCTCTGCTTCCTTCCTTGCCATCAACTTGTCTTAGAAGTTGATGTCGTTCACTCTTTCTTCCATCTAATTAACCCTTGTTGTTAGGACCTCCAGTTTGGATTGCATCTTATTTAATTGATTTTTTAATTTTGGCCTGATTAAATCTAAGTTCTGCAGTTGTGAAGTCTCTTGAATCCTTTATGCTTTTTTCCAGAGTAGCTTTTTAATTGTGCTTCTGAATTGGCTTTCTGACATTGAGTTGTAATCCAAATTCTATAACTCTGTGGCAGAGACTACTGTTTCTGATTCTTTCTTTTGTGGTGAGTTCTTCCTTCTAGTCATTTTGCTCAGTGCAGAGTGGCTGTTTGTGTGGGCTGAGTCCAGAATATCAACCATGACCTAGGGAAATTTCACCCTAGATGATTCTTTTTTTTTTTTAAAGATTTATTTATTTATTTATGATACACAGAGAGAGGGGGCAGGCAGAGACACAGGCAAAGGGAGAAGCAGGCTCCATGCTGGGAGCCCTGCGGGACTCGATCCTGGGACTCCAGGATTGCGCCCTGGGCCAAAGGCAGGCGCCAAACTGCTGAGCCACTCAGGGATCCCCACCCTAGATGATTCTTGTTAGAAGCAAAAACCCTTCTGTCTATAACGTTCCAGCCGTTCTCTCTTTAAATCTTAGGTCGAATTCATAGGTGTTCAGGGTGGTTTGAAGTTATCTAGGTAAATTGGTGGGGCCAGGTGAGTTGAGAACATACTCCTCTGCCATCTTGCCCCGCCTCCTTGATTACATTATTAAAATTTTTTTATTTATTCATGAGAGACACAGAGAGGCAGAGACATAATCAGAGGGAGAAGCAGGCTCTCTGCAGGGAGCCTGATGCAGGACTTGATCCCAGGACCCCGGGATCATGACCTGAGCTAAAGGCAGATGCTCAAGCACTAAGCCACCCAGGCATCTCAGATTACATTATTTTTAAAGCAGAAATAAATCCACAATCCAGGGAAATGGTTGCCTTTGAGTGGGGAGTAGACAGAGGAGGATCCTGGGAAATAACATAGGGAAGGATGGTGTATTGAATATATAAGCTCCTTGGCAACATTCTAGATCTTAAGTTATGAGTTTAGAGTGATTCATTTTAATGCTTTGCTTCATAACTTACATATGTGTTCTATATTGTTCACATTTCAGATGTTAAATGATACACTCTAAATTGGAAAAAATGGTCCATTATAGAAAAACACAAGACAAAATTTTCAAAGACACAAGCTCAAATGTCAATGAAAATTCATGTCTTTCTAGAAAATGAAAAGGTAAGCCACAGACTAGGTGAAAATATTTGTCAGAAGATGTATCTGATAAGTGATGATTATCTAAAATATACAAAGAACTCTTAAAACTTAACAATTAGAAAACAAACAACCAAAGTAAGAAATGAGCCAAAGACCTTAATAGATGCCCCACCAAAGAAGATCTATGGAGATGGCAAATAAGCAAATGAAAAGATGCTTTACATAATCCGTCTTCAGGGAAATGTCAATTAAAATGAGATACCACCTTGCATCTATTAGAATGGCCAAAAATCCAGAGCAGTGATAACACCAAATGCTGATGAGAATGTGGAGCAGTAGAAACTCTTATTCATTGCTAATGAGGGTACAAAATGGTGTAGCCATTTTGGAAGATAGTTTGGCAGTTTCTTACAAAGCTATACACTCTCTTGCAACGTGACCCAGCAATTGTACTGCTTAGAGTTGAAAACCGAAAGGAGTTGAAAAATTGTATTTACACAAAACCCTGCACATAGATGTTTACAGTAGTTTAATTCATAATTGCTCAAACTTGGAAGCAATTGAGTTCCATTAGGTGAATGGATAAGTGAACTGTGGAACATCCAGACGGTGGAATATTATTTAGTGCTGAAAATAAATGAGCTATCAAGTCATGAAAACACATGGAGGAAACATAAATAAGTATTGCTAAGTGAAAGAAGCTATTCCGGGAAGGCTCCATACCATATGATTCCAACTATATGACAATTCCAGAAAAGGCAAAACTATGGAAACAGTAAAAAGATCAGTGGTTTCCAGGGGTTGGGGGAGGGATGAATAGGGGGAGCACAGAAGATTTTTAAGGCAATGAAACTATTCTGTACAACACTGTAATGGTGAGTATGTATCATCACACATTTGTCAAAACCTATAGAATGTACAACACCAAAAGTGAACTCTAATGTAAACTACGGGCTTAGGGTGATAGTGGTGTTTGTGCAGATTTATGGATCATAAGAGATGTGCTACCCAGGTGCGGGATATTGATAATAGGAGAAGCTGTGTGTGTGTGTGTGTGTGTGTGTGTGTGTGTGAGAATGGGGCTATATTGGAACTCTAAACCTTCTACTCTACTAAAACTGTTCTAAAAAAATAAAGCAGGGATGTATCAATGTTAATTTCCTGATTGAATTGTGGATATGTAAGAGAATGTCCTTATATATAGGAAATATACTCTAAAGGATACAGCTATGATAAGATATCATGTAAGCAACCCACGCTTAAATACTTCAGGGGGGAAAATGTACTTACAATCTCTCCTTAAGTTTGAGATTGTTTCAAAATTAAAAAAAAAACATTTAATGCAGCCAATCATTATCACTGTTCTAATGGGAAATTTTAGTATTTTCAGTTTTCTGCCAGCTATTCTTGTTTCCTCAAGTTAGAGGTACAGAGACTTCTAGTCACTTTGCAAATCTACGAGGTCCCAGGGGAGCAATTATTCTCAATCTGGTGTTCACTTCAGATGGCCACATTTTCTTCAGAGCTGACTCAGGTTGCTGACCCAGTGAGTAAGAGACTCCCCCAAGAGAGAAGTTATAAATGGCCATCTGCCCAGGTCCATTTTTTTTAAGGTTTCCATTTTTGTGTTCTAAAATATAGGGATGTCAGATATAGGCATGAGGGCAATTCGGGCCATTCCTAGTCAGGCAAAATAACAGAGTGTCTACCTGTCCATCATGCACCTTCCTTCCCTCCCTCCCCCAGCAATGTGGTTTTAGAATTTCCCAACACCCCCCTCCAGGAAGACTTCTCCGTCTGTGCCACCTTTTTTTCTGCATGAGCCCAGCTCAGATGGACTGCCCTTCTGAGTGGCCAGAGTCTTATGCTTGCCACTGATTGTCTACTTTTTGGAGCTTTCTGGGTTTCTTTTCTTTTTTTTTTTTCATGGTTGCACAAAAAGTGGTTTATTGATTTTAAAACAAAATAAGATGCTTTCAGAACTTTTGTTCGGGAAGAAAAACTTAAAACTTGAAAACTTTTCTAAAATGATATTTTATCAGCTGATGGAAGTAGGAGCTTCAACAGAGAATACTTCCTCCTGGCAACTGTGTGGAGCCCGAGTGCCTGATTAGACACAGCTAACCTAGAAGGGGGGCTTGCATTGCCGTCTGTGTACTATCGAGTGTCAGCTCTGACCTCCTTGCCCTGATGCTTGTGGTGTTCCTTCTTCCCCAGCACACACTCCTGGCTCTTCCTCACCATCTCATGCCTCAAAATCCTGTAGGGGGACTCTGTTTAAGTGAGTTGACTTGTTAGGTGTGGGCAGGCAGGGCCCAAGCTACTTTTGAGGTGACTCAGGTCAGGCCAGGATTAGCTCATGAGAGCCTGGCACTATCCAAGGAGAGCTGAAGGTCCCATGCCAGTGGTACAACATCAGTCAGAGTAGGCTGTGGAGTCAGCAAGCCTGGTATAGACACCACGTAGGGGCTCCCAGCAACTACAGGTGTCTAAGGCAGGAAAACAAGGCTGCCAGCTCATGGCAGCCCCAACAATGATCATCAAAGGCTGATTTTGGCCACCAGCTCTGGTTGAGGAGAAAAGGGACCCCTCATGGTCTCCTGGGAGAGAGGCCCTGGCTGCATTTTTTTTCTTAATCAAGATTTACCTCTGAATATAAATTGAGTTTAGTGTATAGCCTGAATGAATATAAGCTGGATTTAAATCTAGAAATGTGTCTCATGTGAGATGGAGTGGCTTTCTCCCTGATGGGGGAGCCTCCAGGAGAGAGGTAGAGAAACACTGAGTTGGGTTCGGAGCCCTGGCTATTGAAGGTAAAGCCACTGCTTGTAGGACTATTAATTACCTCTATTGTCTCTTGATCCTTCTGGAAAGATTGGTTTCACTTTATGGTGAAGGCTTAGATTTTGATTAGTTAAGGGAATGAACAGTGGGCAGGAAGAGCTCCTCAACCAAGGCTGAGGGCAAAGTTAAGGAAAGCTGGTCATGAGAAGTAAGCTGACTCTTACCTTTGTTATGTTTTCTAAATTTTCTGCAATGGGTATACAGTGCCTTTACAGTCAGGAAAATAGTCACATAAATATGTGAGAAGTGCATAGATCCACAGACCAATAGTGAGTTGCATGGTGAGCATTTCAGGTCATAGAGAATCCCATAGGGAAGCAATTTTGGATGAGTGTCTGCTACTTTTCTCCTTTTTCTAATTCAAATGTAAGAACTAGATATACAAGCATTTTTTGTTCTCAAAAAATAAAATCAAACTTGTGCTTTGCATTAACAATGCCCACTGATGTCAATTTTTGAGAGTGTGATGGACAATGAAAAAATAAATTCAATGTAGATGCAGTGGTAACTTCAATGAGAAATTATGTTATTTATTCCACATACTAGTCGTGTATCAATAATGTGAAAAGCTGTTGAATTTTCTTTAAAAGATACTTGTGTTTGTTTCTAAGTCTCTAAGTGAATTGCTATTTTGAACTAATTTTACAACACTTTGACTTCATAGTCTTCCTTTTCTTAAAGTTGGTCAGAAATTAATTGTGTCATTGAATTGGAACATTAATATTATAGGAGACAGCAGAGCATTATGCAAACCTAAAGATCGTTTAAATGTAACTCTTTAGTTGGCAGGAGACTTACTATTAATTATTTAGAGGCTTTTTGAGTTTTTGTATGGAAATCTTAGTCATTGTTTAAAATGTATCATCTATAGTTATTCTTTCAATTACTCATTATTTATCAAACTCATTTTGGGTTTTGGCTATGTGCCATATATCCCTTGGTAAACAAGAATTGGTGCTTGTCTTCAGAGAGGGTACAGTCCAGTAAAGGAGATAAGATGCATATGAGAAATTATTATACACATTAGACAGTGAGAAGTCCAGCAAGAGTTAAGATAGATTATGTGGTGGTAGTATAATGAGTGTGGTGGGGAAAGAGATAGTGAAGTTCTTCTCAGGAGAGGGAAGAGTATGAAAAAGGCAGGAAGAGTGAGATATGACGTGAGAACATTGAATAGAGGTACAGATTACATAGAAGAAGTGCTATGGCCTCTGACCGCCTTGGTTTATGTAAAGTGAATGATAATGATGGGTTTGTGGGCTTTATGGTTCGTGTTCCAAAATAACCTTAAATCTGTTACAGGTGACAGGTGGGTTTCTGTGTGACAAGGTAGACATATACTGTACTCATAAGGTAGCCCTTTCACTTGGTTGGGGAGTGGGATCTCTGTGTTCCATTCATGAACTATTTCAATCTCTCTCAGTGATTGATGAAGTAGGGCCCCCCTTTTTTGTTATCTTCACCCCTGTGATGATCAGTTTTACATGTCAACTTGGCTAGGCTACCTTCTCAGTTACTTGATCAAACATTAACTAAGGTGTTGCTATGAAGGTATTTTGTAGATGTAAAGTCCACAATGCAGTTGGTTTTAAGTAAAAATGATTGTCCTAGATAATCTGGGTGGGCTTGATTCGATCCATTGGAATGTCCTAAAATCAGAACTGAGGCTTCTCTGAGAGAGAAGAAATCCTGTCTGCAGACTGGAGCTTCAGCCAGTGCCCTTCCTGACAACCAGTCCCATGGATTTCAGACTTCCTTAGCTAGTTCCCATAGGCACAGAAGCCAATTCACTTCAACAAATCTCTTAATATTTATCTCCTACTGGTTCTGCTTCACTGGTTGAACTCTGACTGATATGATGCCCAACACAAAGATTCTTACACTCCCTTTTCTAATTATGCTCCTTGGTTTCCTTTACTGAAAATTTCTTTCCTAGTGGTGTAAGAGATGTCAAATTCTCCAACTTTTCTTTTCCCAGGATTTATTTATTTTATAATGTGAACTCCTAAACTCATGATTTGATTTTTAATGAAGTCAATTTTACAACTATACTTTTTATTCTTTACTTTCTAGCAATTGTTGTTTCTAGTATGTTCCTTCTCTATTTCATATCCATCAGTTTCTGTTTTACTTCTAGAATGAAGTTCTACAGGGGTAGGGGTCTTTGGCTGGTTTATTTATGTTTGCCAAGCACCAAGAACAGTGTCTGGTGCAAAGGAAATATTCATTATATGTTTACTGAATGAATGAATGATATTTCTTTGTGAATATCCATCTTTATATTTATATGCTGCTCATACAACGATAACATCATTACATAAGACTTTTGTTTCTGTCTTCACTGTGAGGTTTGTTGGTGGGAGGCAGCTATATTGGGTAAGCAAATCTGCTTTGAAGATCCAAACTCTCCATTGGGTTTGTAATCCCAAGATCTAGGCTTGGGGTCAGGTATAAGCTAGTTAGATACTGGCTATAGATCTGAGTGATTCTCTCTAATTTAGCCTAAATACAGGTAATTTAACCTCTATTCATTGAATAACTGTATTTGTTTCTCAGTCAGTTCCAAACTCAGAGATAATTCAAGAGGTATATTAATTATATACTTCTAATTCTGCAACATGCATTTATGGAACAAATCCATTTTTGGTCTTTTCTAGGAATAAAGTACTTTTTTTGAGGGGAGAACCTATTGCTTGTCTGACTTGAAAATTTTTGTTCTAGTGGGAGCTGCCAATCATATAATGTTCAGTCCTGTCCTCAAAGATGAGTGCACGACCCAAGTCAGAGTTCTTCACAGGGATTTTTTTTTAAACTGGAACCAAAGAAAGTAAGCCTGCTCTTCTCTTGTGTCCTTCTAATATGTTTTATATTTTCCCTCTTTTTCATAAAAGTTTAAGATAGTGATAGGCCATTTTTCTGCAAAATTAGTTATGAATTTTAAAAAGGCATCTGAAGGCAATTCTAGAGCAAATTGACTAAGTATGCCATTGGTTGTGTGGTGCCACCAATTGAAATGAGAAATTCTTGGTTCAAAAAGGCCTCAGTGCAGATTCTTATAGAATTTTCTTTAGTAATGCCAAAAATGTAAGAGTAGAAAGGGAATCATAGGGTGAGCTAGGATGAGGATTTCTAAATTTTTTTTTTAATTTATTTATGATAGTCACAGAGAGAGAGAGAGAGAGAGGCAGAGACATAGGCAGAGGGAGAAGCGGGCTCCATGCACCGGGAGCCCGACATGGGATTCGATCCCGGGTCTCCAGGATCGCGCCCTGGGCCAAAGGCAGGCGCCAAACTGCTGCGCCATCCAGGGATCCCTAGGATGAGGATTTCTAGCTAAATTTAACTTTCTTAGTGGTTCAGATAGTAGGCAGTAAGATGTCATTCAGTCTGGATTGTTGAAAAAGAATTCAAATGGTGGAATTATACCAGCCACTGCTTTCTGTGTAATAAACATATCAACATTCTCAGGTAGACAATCCTTGCTTACTGTCCTTAGAAGCCTCCCTAGGATTTCCCAATCTGGTGCTACATTGGGCATCCCCTGGAAGTCTCTCTCCTTGAAATTCTCAACTGAATCTGATGCCCACTCTGCATTTCTTTAATATTAAATTCTCCAAGCCATAAACCCTGCCAGGTACAATAATATCCAAGTTCTTTTACCAGACATAATAGTACTTAGTCTCTTTAGTAGTTTAAATCTTTTGAATTATTCTCCAATAATAAAATAGGAATGTATTTTCATTTGGGAAAACATACAGATTTATAGTCTTTTGAAATACTGGGCTTGTCTTACTTTCACTCAATACAATATTTATCACTTTTGGTCATTAGAACATAATGTTCATCTCAAAGAAAGTCAATACTTTTATATGCCTGTGAACATGAAGTGCTGTTAGATTCTAAAACTGATTCAGGCAGACAATAGAGTGACTAAGCAATGGGATTTTTTGCCTCTGAAAATCTCCCACTTGTAGAACTTTGTGATTTATGAGCCAAGCTGAAAAGGTTTATTAATGTCTCTGGTAATCAGATAATTATAACAAAGTGTACCTTAGAACCTGGCAGAGGGATGTTTGAAGTCAAGTGTGGTAAAAATCAAGGGAAACAAAACAAAACGTTGAAACCTTTCAGACATACGTAGTCAAATCCATTTTGTCCAGAACGAGATGTATAAAACTATCCCTCTCCTCTGGCCTAGTCTCTACTACCCTGTCTGTTCTTTTGACAATGGCATATGTTTTGTCAAATGCATTGTCAAGGTAGCATCCTTCCATTCTTGAATGTCTGTTGACTGCCAGGCATCTTCAGGTATCTGCTGAATACAAACGTGAGCAAAGCAGTTTCTTCTGATGGGGAGCTTCTTCTGATGTGATGTCCTGAGGGAGGCAGGCATGTAACAAGTGTATATGGCAGCGTGTCCTCTTCCATCTTGAGGAAAGAGCCAGCTGTGGTGTCTCACACTGTTGAGGGATCTGGGCCTGGTGGCGATACTGGGGGTAGACCAATAGAAAGCCTAAGGCTGAGTGAAAATGGCTGCAATCAGAGATTGGGAGCAGATCTCAGGAAGGGAGGTGAAATGAGAAGCTAAGAACTGGCCAATGCTGGCATATGCCATCAGGAAAAAGATAGGAATCTATACGTAGGGCCATAGTTAGGATTCAGATACAGAGGTTTTTTTTTTTTTTAATTCATTTAAATTGGTTTCCTTTTTTTCTTTTTACTTTTAAATTGAAATGCACATAGAAAAAAAGTATGCAAATCATAAAATAT